CAATTTTAGAAGCTTCGAGTTCCCGCTTTCTTCTTTCTAAATTTTGGTGTAAACACTTAGTTTTCATATGAATAAATGTGTACATAATGTTCTCACTTTTATTAGGAGAATAGCTGTTGATACTTAGATTGGGCTCAGACTGATTTTAGAATCGGCAGTTTCTAATTTTGGCCCAATCCAAGAAAAACTATATGAAACAATATGAAATTTTACCACATTGATTTTCTATTGAGATAAAATCACCCCTACTTGGAGTATACAATCGATTAATATATCCAACTACAAAATTGATCTTTTATCAATCTACCCACTTTTTAACCCCTATTATTATCTCTCCCAACCTCCTTGCTATAAGAACGAGCGTTTAGTCAGCCTTATCAACCTAATGGTCGGCCTCGCCGTTGGGACCTCCCTCCGCTGCATGCTAGGTTGTGTGCAACCTTGAACCAATCTAGCGTCTACCGGTTTGTGGCCCAAATTAACGTCAACAATAACAATATGAATCAATTCCCTCAGTGCCATTAGAAATTTTACCTCTTCTCTCACTGGTATCAAAATATTCAAACTTCCCTCACTACAATCGGAATAATTCACACTTTCCTCATTGCCATTTCTGTCAAAATCTGTTAATTTTGCTGTTAAGTTGATCTGGAAATGACCATTTTGCCCATCCCAAGCAAATGATGTGAAAATCAAGGAAAAAATCATATCTTTTTTATACGATCTTGGATGAAGATGATTTTCATATGAAAATTGTATCTTTTGACGGGATCTACAACTTTCTAGTTTTGAGTGTTTTCATTTGAGATCGTTAAGATGCTCAAAAAATTGAACAACGTTTCAACAGTATATTAATAGTGTACACGCGTTTGTCGCCTTAGAAAAATCATATCTTTCTTATATGGTGTGAAATGGAGATACTTTATATATAAAAGTTATAGCTTTTGATGGGATCTACAAATTTATAGCTTTGAGTTTTTTCATTTAAGATCATTAAAAAAATGAATATAAAGTTTCATCAGCATATTAATCGCGTACAAGCACCTATGACCTTGGGAAAATCATATCTCACTTAGACGCGGCCAAACGGGTTAGATTCAAAAATGGTCATTTCCTAATCACGTACAAGCACTTGTCACCCAATTTTTTTTTCTATTTTTCACATCTTTTGCTTGGGAGGGGCAAAATGGTCATTTCCATATCAACTTAACAGCAAACTTAACGGATTTTGACGGAAATGGCAATGATGGAAGTGTAAATTATTCCGATGGCAATGAGGAAAGTTCGAAAATTTCGATGGCAATGAGATAAGAGGTAAAATTTCCAATGGCACTGAGAGAATTGGCTCTAACAATATAGCATGCCGTGCGGAAAGTGTGTACTCTAGAGTAAATTATTATGTGTTTCACCATTCGATAGGATATTCTCTAGTTTCAAAATAATTTCACACAAGGAAGAAACCATTTTCACAAAAATCATGGGAAAACATTTTGCGTTATCACAAAAATCACGGGAAAACATTTTGCGTTAAGGCTCCCCAGGGTCTCTTTCCACTCCTTTACGCCGATGCTCCGTAATTTGTAGGTAAGACTTCCACTCCTTTTTTGTGGCTTTTATGCCGATGCTCCGCGCCAATTTGCTTCAATGTTTCATGATGACACCGAAATGTTTGTTGTCTAAAATACGGAGTATATAATCGGAGTGGACACCGACAGAGAGACAGTTCACGTGCAGCCGTGCATATGTTTGGTTCTCCCACGCGTGATCCCCCAATCACGCGGCAGTAGCGCCGCCACACGGTCGCCGAATCATTTGGCGGCAGCCGCAGCGCAGGCCCGCAACTTGCGCCAGCTCGTGGTATCTTGCAAGCAATGATCTCCCGCACCAAACTCCGCATATTCGTGCACTCCTCCGTGCGATCCCTCGAAATACCATCAGTCCATGTCATCGATGCCCGACAGTAATCGTGCACTTAATTGAACTTGTCTTTTGCTTCTCAACTTGCCTCGTCCTTGCTCAGGAAGCTGAAAAAGTCACTTTCGGGCTGGTAATAATACTATAAACTCACTAAACAAAGACCAATGGCATTCGAAATTCCTGTAATTATAATAATAACCTGACAGGCGTGGACCCATTATGTCGTTTTACCTTGGGACTAACGTCTTGTTCACTTAGCTTATAAACATTATTTTTTCAGCTAACGAACAGTATTTTTCTCTCACAATAAATCAGCCAACAGTACTTTCAGCTATGGCTTATCAGCCAAACGAACAGGACGTAAACCAACTGGTTCCACGACTAGCCGCCCTGAGCTAGCCGTTGTTAGACTCGATTCGAAACCGCGCTGTTTAGAAAAGTAGCAGGACGATTTTTGTAAAAAAAAAATCAAGTTTCTCAACTTTGTCCGCCGTTTTCTCGAGCGAACATCTTTTCGAGCGTCAGCTATAGCACGGCAAAAATTACATTCTAGTTTAACATAGTTTGATTTAAGTTAAATTTAAAATTTAGAATTGCATTCCTTTTGAAGAGGTAATGCAGAAAAAGCTGCCACTCGAAAAATCATGCTCCTCCATAACATCTTATGTAACCAATGTTCCAACTAACGCGATGTAATCGTACTATAGCGATTTCAACGTGTTGCCGCTTGGATTTTGCACATTTACCCGCTATCATAGCTAAGGCCGCTATAACATTGTTACCAGTGCTAAATTAAATAACTTAACTTAGCATTTAGCCACAATAGGACGCTTGGAGTTCCACTCTCAAACGTTTACATATCTTTTTATAAACTATAATCAAATTGGTGCCCGATGAAATTGTCATTTTATCGGACCCGTTTGGATCATTGAAATTGAATTCATTCTAATAATTATAATTTAGGTATAGATTAATTAAGCCAATATAGTTGTATATGAAATATATTTATATATTATTGTTAGCCATACGAGGAACATACTTTATACGTTGCACTTCTATTGTAGCGAAATGAGTTGAAGAGTGTGATATAAATTGAAGAGTTGTCGGTGTTTCGAGTTGCCACCAACAAGTAAATTTCTAATATTGCACGCCTGGCTCGGATGGTGTGTTAAGAGGACACGAGGTTTATACTGGTTCGGACAGAATGTCCCTACGTCCAGTTCATCGTTGCCGCTCGTATTACTAGCACTGAAAGTTCGTAGTAGGGGTTACAAACAGGTGAGAGAGGAACATGTCCCAAGTCTCTGATAGAAAGGATGAACGGGTGCCGAAAGCTCGGTCGTTGCCCGGTTGTATGTTCGGGGTTCGATGAGTTGGTTGGATTCGAGTCTCCTCTGGTGTGTTGCGATGAGTTTCGATGCCCCCTAATGGGACGCCCTGCTTTCTCTTTTATAGGCCAAGGTAAAGCATGGGTTACAGCGAAGGGAAAAGAGGAGAATCAGAAGGAGAAAGAAGTCATCCAGGATCGTCGGGTCCTTCTTCTCTTCTATGCGGGTCTCGCTGACCCTGTAGACGTCAACAGGGTCAGCTTCACGTCGCGGCCCTGTCCGTCACTAGCGCCATGCACAGGCGTCGCCCGTCAGTCATGGCGCTCCACCCCGTCCTGGCAGACGTTGTGGTGAACTGACGCGCTCGTCAGTGTTCGTACGGGGGTTAGGCAGAATAGCACCGGTACTCCCGACGCTGTTCCTGATGTGAACCCTCAGGTATGGCCCGTCGTGGTCGCGAGTTACATCGAGGCGTGCCAGTCTCCTTCCTGGTGTCAGAGCTTTGACCTAGACCCATACACTCGGGCCCAGAGTGGTTGACGGCGGTATGGGTCTTCACCGGGCGAGGCGGAGCCCGCGGCCTCGGGTCAGGGTGAGGCGGAGCGCGGACCCAAGGGTTGGACAAGGCGGAGCGCGGACTCGAGGGTCGGGCGAGGCAGAGCCCTGCCCTCAGAGGCCGGGCGAGGCGCGGAGCCAGCCCTTGAAGGTCGGGCGAGGCGGAGTCCTCCCCCAGAGACCGGGCGAGGCGGAGCGCACCCCCAAGGGCCGGACGAGGCGGAGTGTAGACCCAAGGGTCGGGCGAGGCGGAGCCCGCGGCCTCGGGGTCGGTCGAGACGGAGTCCTCCACCAGAGGCCGAGCGAGGCGGAGCGCAAGCCCAAGGGTCGGGCGAAATGGAGCTTGCGCTCCTGACTGCTCGGATGAGTCAATGTCGATGGTCATTAGCCCCTCCTCTTCGGGTACCCTAGTATTGGTCGCGCAACATCAGTAGAAATATAGCATGTTGATGTATAGAATCCATTTTTATCTCCCACCCTATGAATTTGAGATTATGTGTGAGCTTAGGAGAGTTGTGAAATGTCAAATTTCAAACGTCTAATCCATTAAGTAGATTCCAAATTCCTCTAAAATGAAGGGATCCAAACGGTCCCTTAAGGAAATACACTCCCTGTCTCTATCTCAAAATAATTCTCCACCTCATATTTCAAACTTAAACAATTCTAACTTTGATTATATATATATATCACACACTAATATTTAGGTTATTAGATAATTTTATTAGATTAATCAAGTCATATATTCTTATAGTATTACCTATTTAAAGACATAAATGTTAATATTATTTCTATAAATCTAATTATAATTGAGATTTGTTGATTTCTCTGAGATGGAGATCTGTTTTAGAGCGAAGAAAGCAGTAGCAGAAGCATTGACACAATCGTTGGGAACGGACCACGTGTAGCTCATGGAACTTGTCACGTCACACCACGTTGACACATCCATCTGTCAGTCTAACCATCAAAATAGGCCACAAATAAAGATCATCAGAAATAAAAATTCATCAATTAGAAACGGGCGAGGAAAAGCCAAAATCACACCCATCTGCTGCTCGTCTCCCCTTCCTTCCACGGCGCGGCAGTCCGGTCGTGCACCTACCGGCTCACCGCCCCTTTCCTTCGTTCCTCGAACCGCTCGCTCCTTCGTGTCTCGCCCGCACTTCCAAACCAAACCATCCATATAAATCCCGCGAGGAATCTATGACCGGCGAGGAGGAGGAGGAGGAGGAGAAGGAGCACGGTGGCCACAGGTACGTCAGGATGCCGCCGGAGCCGCCCGAGCCGGAGGGGTTGGCCGCCGCGTCGTCGGCGTCGTTCCGCCTGCCGGAGTCGGCGCGGGTGTTCGACGAGCTGCCGCGGGCCAGGATCGTCGGGGTCTCGCGCCCCGACGCCGGGGACATCACGCCCATGCTGCTCTCCTACACCATCGAGGTCCACTACAAGCAGGTCCGTCCCCGGGCGCCGCCGCCTCTTCCCAACTCCGGATTCGTCTGGCCTTGCTAGCTCCTCTGGTTGGGCGGGCAGCGCAGTAGTGCCTGGCATTTGGCGGTGTAGAATTGCTGCGTGAATTGGGCGTTTGGGTGATTTGTTCCCCCGATGGGCTCCGACTACATTTTTCTAGGTGATCTCAGAAGCTTCGATTATCCCTTGAGGTGCCGGGAACTGAGTTGCTCGTTCGATTCGGGTTCTGTGAGTGGCTTGTGGTTCAATTCGGGCGTGCTGCTCTGATGTGGATGCGAATATGGAAGTGACTTAAGTACTTGTGTACTATACTTTATTTATATATAATAAAGGTCGCTTTTGTTGAATTCCTATTCCTTTTTCACCAAAAAAAACTTATTGGGCTTATTGTGGAGGAAAATGGTACCTCTTATGTGCTTTGGGTTGCAATATTGTCAGTGTGACTCAATGATTGCATGAGTTCCGTCTGGGATTTTCCATTCGATGCAAAAAGCTGGTGAACTCTTTGCGTTGCTGGCTACATTTCGCCTCTGCCATTGTTAAGTGTGCTAGCAATTTGAGCTTCTTGCTACTCCTTCAAAAGTCCATTATCTTTTGGTGGGGTACAAGTGGTTGAGGTGATCATTGTATACCATTTAATAGTTGACATAGGAGATTAGGACTTTGTATGGCCCACTATCATTAAACTTCTTTTAGAGAAAAGGGTAACCCATAGTTTTCAATAAAATCAACTGCCATTAAACATTTCTTATATTTGGTGCTTTGTGTGTGCACTGCGAAACAGAAAAAGTATATGCTTACATGGAATTCAGGTAGTTTTCGTTTTCTCTCTTTTGCTTTCAAAGGGACTCAAGTTTTGCTCTTTTTTTTTAGGGGGGGGGGGTGTGTAATATTAGACTGCAATTTGGTGGCAACTGTACGAGACATTCAGTGTGATGTACTGATGTTATTAGATGACTGGGGCCGCGTTTAGTTGCTGGCCGAAGTTGGCGCCGTCGGAAAGAGAGGTCACTGTAGCGCACTGTAGCGTTTTGTTTTTATTTGGTAATAATTGTTCAATCGTTGATTAATTAGGCTCAAAACGTTCGTCTCGCAAAGTACAACCAAACTGTGCAATTAGTTTTTAATTTCGTCAACATTTAGTACTTCATGCATGTACCGCAAGTTTGATGTGACGGAGAATCTTCTTTTTGCATAGTGTCAAAGTTGGGAATTTGGTGGAACTAAACATGGCCTGGGTGAAGTAGTTGGGTGGACACAGAGAGCAGAATGCGAACTGGGGTGCTGCTTTCTGAGCCAATCAACCAAGTAAAAAGATTGATGTGATATGTCCCCTTGTGTGGTTGGCATGAGTCAAGACAAAAATAAATAGTACAGCTTGCATCAGTTGATGTAGCATAGCATGTCACATTGATTTTCTTGTTGATGAATAATGTGAAAACCTGATTCCACTGGAATATTTGGGGTTGCTTTGTTAACGTTCATTTATTGCATTTTAGCCTATGCAATTCCCCAAAATATGAACTCTGAAATCCACTAAATAATGTTCACTAGTTCTTCTCTCAGTTTAGGTGGCTTCTATATAAGAAGGCTTCACAAGTGGTATATCTACATTTTGCATTGAAGAGACGTGCATTTCTTGAAGAATTTCATGAGAAACAGGAACAGGTTGGTTACATTATCTTTATGATTATTTTGAGCTGTGCTTGAATATACTTATTCTTTCTGGTTAACCACTAAATGCATTGGTTACAGCACGTTGCAAATATATGCCATATAGTGCACCTTTTTTCTTGACAAAATTATTTATTTTATAACCATCTAGGAGTTGCTTCTCATTACGTTTTGCATTTCACTATGTTTTCTGTCATTTTCACTTGCTTGAGCCAGCACATGCATTTTACTTTGAGAGCTGTTTGGGGTTCTATCCGCTAATATAGCAGTGCAATGCAAGTATGCCTTCTAAATGAGTGATTTTGCTGACCTGATTATATCCCTTTCTTTGAGTGTCAACTCTACTCGGCATGATACGATTATTTTGTGTGGAAGCTTCATTTTCAGTCATGAAGAACTGAACTAATCTCCTTTGTTTAATTAAAGGTCAAAGAATGGCTTCAAAATTTGGGGATCGGGGAGCATATGCCAGTTGTACATGATGATGATGAAGCCGATGATGTGCATGTTCCTTCACAGCATGATGAACACTCTGTCAAAAATAGGTAAAGTGGTGGCTTATTAACAATGTTCCTTGTTGAACTAAAAGAAAAATGGAACTTCAGCAATGAAATCTTGTAAACAATTTTGATGCACTTGAAGCAGTTGGCTTCCCACATATCCATGTGCATGTAGTAATAAACATACTTAAACTTTGGCTGCAGAAATGTTCCCTCAAGTGCTGTTTTACCTGTTATTCGGCCTGCCCTTGGTCGTCAGCAATCAATCTCTGATCGTGCAAAGGCTGCCATGCAAGAATACTTGAACCATTTCTTGGGAAACTTGGATATTGTCAACTCAAGGGAGGTAACAAAAGCCTGCTTCCAGTAAAAAAATCTTAGTTTTGATGAAAAATTGTAAATATAACCAAAGTATTGTGCACGTGTCCATTAGAGTGGATCATCCTGTTTCTCATTTCTTTTAGACTGTAACATCTGTTAAAATGCAGGTTTGCAAATTTTTGGAAGTTTCACTGTTATCATTTCTGCCAGAGTATGGGCCCAAGCTAAAGGAAGATTATGTTACAGCAAGGCACTTGCCAAAAATTGAAATTGAGATGGACAGTAAAGAGATATACTGTTCATCATGTTGTTTTAGCTTTTGCAGTAGTAGCTGGCAAAAGGTACTAAGCAATCTTTGATGATTTTATTTTGTTGACTAACATGATGCTGACTTGTATATGAACCGTTAACTCTATTGCTTCTTGATAGGTTTGGGCTGTACTGAAGCCAGGATTCTTGGTTTTACTCCAAGATCCATTTGATCCTAAGCTTTTGGACATAATTATTTTTGATGTGTCACCTTACACTGATAGAGATGAAGGCCAAACCACTCTAGCAAAGGAGATAAAGGAACGTAATCCATTGCATTTTGGATTTGAGGTATTTCTTTTCTGTTTATGAATTGCTTGGTCTAGCAGCTTGACATATCACTCCAATCAAACAACTAATATTGTTAGTGTCTCTCCAGTGGACTTATATGTTATCACTCCTACCAAACAAGTAGACTAAATGGGTTCTTTAGCATAACATTTTCTTTTTTTTTGTCAATTTTGGGTTCAAGTCCAATCAAAACAAAATATTGCTAGTTGGTTTTAGTTGCTTACATGAGAAGGGCCAGTTCTCTCCTGGGGATGACTTTCAGGTAGGAGGTGGCTTGTCCAGCTTATAAATGAACTTAAGGGTATTGACACCTTGGGTCTTTTGAGACATTTTTATTTATGCTGCCTTTAAAACCTCGATCATTTGTTTTCTACAGTAGACAGATTATGAATAAGTCTTAAGCCACTCAAAGAGACAAGGTGTTAACTAGCACAATGTTCTGTTCTTTTTCTCTCGAACACACAGGGAGGCTGTGTTAGAAGAAAGAAAGGGAAATAACCCTTACAGAACACACGCACTCCCCTCACATAGTTGTGTTCTACTTCTACGCATGGAGCATTTTGTGAAGCACCACAACAAATGCAGTAGTCCAGTATTGTTGAAGTCATACACTGTTTAAGAAGAGTTTTGCATTTTATCTAGTATGAAAATCTTGCTGTATATGGCAGTTTTTTTATTTACTTTTTCTGAGCTGTCATGACAAATTCACCTGGCAGATTCCAGTCATCCTTGGGTATAGGGTTGTTTATATAATATATGCTATCAATTAACTATTAAGGACCTTGATTATTTACTTCAAATCAAGTTATTATGTTTTCTCCTTCCTCATGATTGAAACATGCCTGCCCTCAAGCACTGTTGACAGTGACTACAGTTCATGTAATTCCCGTGCTTAGAAACTAAGATTTAACTCCCTTGGCCTATACCAGAAGGCTATATTGCGCCCATGTGCTTGATCTGTATGATAATAAACTATGTATACAACTGGCAAACTTGTGTTTTCTTGTGAGAAACCTTCTCTATAGTTTTAATTTAACCAATTTCAGAGCTGCTTTGGTACTTTGAATGATGCCGAAATCACTTCATGGACTTGAATCTTTATGTACAGTTGTAGGCTTGTGTCTACTTGTTGAGAAACTAGCTTGATAACCAGTTGTTTCTTGCATTTCTTCTGTGTGCTCTCCATTTGTTCCTCATGTTCCATTTTCCTTCCATCCATGTTTTATCTACATATGGTCCCTATTTGGCTTATAGCGAAAGGCCATGATGCAAATAACTCGCCTTGTTTTTGTGTCATAAGAAAAAAAAAAATTGACAATGGATTTGTGTAGCTCAAATAAAAAAGATAAAAATTACCATTCGTACTGGGCTTGATTTTGCTGGGCAAGCAATTTGGTAATGCAGTAGAAGTGACATCGGTGTTTTGTTCAAATTTTCTAAATACTGTGCTTGTGGAAGGTATCTTCTGGGGGGCGGACAATAAAATTGAGAACAAGAAGTTCAACTAAGGTAAAAGATTGGGTTACTGCAATAAATGCTGCTCGACGACCCCCAGAGGGCTGGTGTCACCCTCACCGCTTTGGTTCATTCGCACCACCTCGGGGCTTGACTGAAGATGGTAGTGTGGTACAATGGTTCATAGATGGTCATGCTGCATTTGATGCTATTGCTTCTTCCATTGAGGAAGCCAAATCAGAGGTTAGTGCACTTCAAGAAGTGAAAATATTCCTGCTACAAGTTGAAGCCATCGCCATATCATGAAGATAAGTAAATGTTGGGTGCAGATATTTATAACTGACTGGTGGCTGTGCCCAGAATTGTATCTTCGACGCCCCTTTCACTTTCATGGATCCTCTAGGCTTGATATTCTTCTGGAATCAAGGGCGAAACAAGGTGTACAGGTATTTAATTATTTTTAATCAGCAAAACTGTTAGAACCTTGGTTCCAGTATGTGCTCCATCTAATCTATAAGAGCTTTATTAACTGGTTTTTACAAAATTGCATTTATTTGTAAGGGTTAGTAGTGGACTTTAAGATGTGAATCAGTTAGGTTTAACGAAGATATTGTTTGACGGTTTTTCCTTTTTTTTTCCTTTGGATGATTATGTTGGATTTTACAAATATGCATTCTAGTTGAGTTTTGATAATGCGGGCTTTTAGTTGTTATTTGTCTATGATTATATTTTATGAAAACATTATTCGGCTACAAATGATTTTAAGGTTATCCTGTTTCTAAAGTATTGAGGAAAAAACTTAGTGGGAACTCATTATCTTGAGATTTGGAAGAAGTCACTTTTTTATTTAAGTTTTATTTATCTTAACCTAATTCAACAAGATTTTTGGTGGTAAAGGTCTTAAATCAATTCAAACATTTGTCTATGGCCAAGATCCAAACAAGTTAACATTTGAGGGTTAGTTGTATCACATGATAAATAAACCTATCTACAATCTACTGTACGGCATGTGTTTGCTTTCTCTCTTCTTTTATTCTGTCAATAACTAAAGCTTTGTATTAGTAAGACAAGAATGCACTACTTAGCAGTAGTCCAGTAACAGAGCAAAGAATCTAATCATCTAAGAACCATTTTTCTTCTTTAATATAATGATGCACAACACTCGTCCGTGTTCGAGAAAAAAAGGAGCTAATCACACAATGGTTATTCTAGACATGAACCTAGTGCACTGTGATTGAAGACCTGTTTGTTTGAGCTGCAGCTTTTGGACTTGCTCAAAAGCTGGCTTTCTGACTTTTTGGCTTCTGGCTGTTGGCTTTTTGCTATTGACTTTTGTAATAAATTTTTAGCTTCTCAGCACACGAAAAGCCATAAACACTCTCAGCGTGCTTTTCAGCTTTTAGTTTATTTCCTCAGAAGCCAACTTTCCAGCTTTTCAAAATCCAGCTCAGCAGCTAGGCTGATTGTTTCAGCTTCTGGCTTCTGGCCAGCAAAAAGCTGAAGCAAACGAGTCCTGAGCATATCTTCTGTATATTGGAATGCTTAGGTTTAACTGTGTAGATATTTCTGTACTTCTAGCCTGCCATTTAATCAGATTCCTTTGTCTAGTGTTCCCATATGCTCCCAAATGTTTTGCAATGCAGAAGTGGTCATAAGCAAGACTGCAAGAGCATAATTCTCAGCATTCAAATATTTCATTGATCAAGTAGAAACTGAACACAGTTTGCTTAATGCTTATCATGAATCATTTTTTGTGAATAACACATTGGAACTAGTTTTTTTTCCTCGAACAACGCAGGAGAGCTGTGTGTCATTTCATTAAGAGAGGAAAAAAAAAGGAAAAAAATACCTTACAAAAAACGGGATGGATGGCTAGAAAAAACCTTCCCAACACACCCAACTCACACTACATACTGCAAGAAAAGAAAAGAATAAAGCTCGACCAAAACCAACTTCCACACTAGGCCATTAAGGGTCTGATTGGTTGATTGCACAACCCTTTCTCCAGGCTCCAGTAATGCAAATTGAGCTTGTTTGGTTGCCTGTACAAAGCTTTATGCAGCATAGCACTATCCTCAAAGCACCTTAGGCTTGCATCCCACTATTCGCTCAAAACTCAGCGTATCCAGCTATGCAGCCCAAGCGTGCACGCGCTGTGCAGGTCATGGCCCGTTTCCTGCATCCGCTCTGCACTCTGCAGCGCCCAATGCAGATGGGCTGGAGGGTCAGGCTGTGCTCACCTCACTCTTTCCCATTCTCTCCTAGTCCATCTCCGCTCTTCTTGCTCCCATCGTGTTCATGTTTAGTGACGACGAGAGTGGGGGTTCCTGCCGGCCATCGAGATGGATCACAGCAGCGAGGGCCGCATCGTCGTGGCTGTGCAACGCACACTGGACAAGTCCTACGCGTTGGCCTGTCGGCAAGGAGAACCAGGCGGCGCTGGGCGAGGAGATCAGGCGGCGTTGACGGTGCTGGAGGCCACAGTGCGCCTGATTCATGTGTTGCGGGCCGAGCTTGCCGCTGCTAGGATCCAGATCGACCGCGCGCGCCATGGGTCGTGTCGCCGCGGCCTCCGGAGCCGCCGAGGACCTGCATGACTACCTTGCCATCCTAGCCCAGCTCGAGGAGGTGCACGCCGATGCCTCTGTTGTCGTCCTGCACGCCTGCAGCCTTCTCTCGCCGGCGCGCGCTGGCACCTCTCTCCCTCACTCTCCCTTTCCCTTTCTGCAACCAACAGTGATGTGGCTACTTCTCGCAGCTAGAGCTGGTGGACCAACAGTGGTGTGGCTACTGCAGGACCAAGGAGTCTCGGGGAAGACAAGTGAGAGAGATGGGTGAGGGCGTGAAAATGACGAAGGGTAAGGTTACCTATTGGGATGAAGGGGTAAGCATATTAGTTATTATATGCAGACAACCAAACACATAAAAATGTATTCCTCTATGCAGTTCAAGAGCTGGCACAGACAACCAAACGCATGCATAACAGGCTACACCCTCCTATCTAGACAAACCAAACAACAACGAAATGCATTGCCTTATTCAGGCTAAGGATATGCTGCATAAGTTCTAATGCAATGCAATTTCAATACAAGTAACCAATCAGACCCTAAGGGCTTGGAGCAAGCGACCTCAGGATGAGCTTCCGAAGCGCAGAAGCACCAGCCAAACACCACTAGTTTTTTATGTATTGATCATAGTAATTAGTTATACTAATTATCAGTCTCAGTACCTAAGAAATGCTATTTTGTTTTGCAGATTTACATTCTTTTGTACAAGGAAGTTTCTCTTGCATTGAAAATCAACAGTATGTACAGTAAACGGAGGCTACTTAACATTCATGAGAATGTTAAAGTTCTGCGCTACCCAGATCATTTCTCGACTGGCATATATCTATGGTACAATGGGAGTTTTATACTTTTTTATTTTCTGTTAGCTGTAATTAATTAAATTCTCATCATTCACTCTTTTCTGTGGCTTGAAGGTCTCACCATGAAAAAATTATTGTTGTTGATAATCAAGTATGCTATGTTGGAGGTCTTGATTTGTGCTTTGGTCGTTATGACTCCCCTGAGCATAAAGTTGCGGATTTTCCTCCATCAACATGGCCTGGAAAGGATTACTATAATCCTAGGTATTTTTGTTATTCAGATTTTTTATTAGGTTCCATGCATGCATACTTTATATATTAATCATTTAGCTTGTGTGCTTACTATTGTTGTTTGTAAGGGAATCTGAGCCAAATTCTTGGGAGGACACAATGAAAGATGAGCTTGATCGCACTAAATATCCTCGCATGCCTTGGCATGATGTTCAGTGTGCACTTTATGGTCCAGCATGTAGGGATGTAGCAAGGCATTTTGTTCAGAGATGGAACTATGCAAAGGTCAGTTGGCTTTAGGAGTATTTTTCATCTGTATCAGTTCTGAACTTAACAATCTCACCTATTGCAGAGGAATAAAGCACCGAATGAGCAAGCAATTCCATTATTAATGCCTCATCATCACATGGTAATTCCTCATTACATGGGTACAAGCAAGGAAACAAATGGGGAAACGGAGAATAAACAGGGCCATGATAAGGATATTAAATTTAATAGGCTAAACTCCTTGATAACACCAGCATCATGTCAGGACATTCCGTTGCTTTTGCCGCATGAACCTGATCACCATGCATTCGCAAGTGGAGATTTTGGACTGAATGGCATGAATATCACTAATGGTCTTTCAGACCATGCAAATAAAACCAATTGGAACCAGCAGGCACTGTCGAACCGAAAGGCCAAACAAGATCTTTCTTTACAAGATTTACAGATGAAAGGATTTGTGGACAATGTCGGTTCCCTTGAGGTTTCAGTGTCTAAACACTATGGCACCTCAAATCCAAATATGCAACACATAGATAAGGAGTGGTGGGAGACACAAGAACGAGGAGATCAAGTTGCCTCTGCGCTTGACGTTGGAGAAGTTGGTCCCCGAGCAGCATGTCGTTGTCAGGTTATCATGCACTGACGATTAAACTGATATTAATATCCTGATACTTTATTTGTACTTAATGGTATATGTTGGTTTACAGATTCAGCCGCCCCAAACTTTGTGTTGTGCATGCCCCTTGCAGCTTAGTGCTATTCATTGTTACAAAAGTAAACGTGACCATGGTGGTTCAAGGGAACTTTAATACTTTCTCAGAGAATAGATATGGCATAAGAAGTCCCTAGTTAGAAGAAAATGTTATGTTTGTCAAGATTTATGCCGAATGCAACATTATAACTTGTTTGTTTTACCAACAGATAGACATGCCTGTTTGGACATTTTTGCCTGTGTTTGTTGCTTTCTTTCTCATGGTACAATCTTACCATGAATTCCATAACATACTGATGGAAAATCTCGCACTGGCTTGATTTGTTTGTGGCGACCATCTGTGTGTGTTCTATTAGACTATTACATATGGTTTTGGTCATGCAAAAAGATTTTTTTTTTTTCAAATAGCCGATGGTGCATAATCTTTAAAGTTTCATGGAAGCTAACAGATTCTAAGTTTTGAATAATGGAAATAGCATCTTGAAGTTTCATTTGCACTTCTCGCTTGCCAAAGCTGTTGAAATATCCATAGTTATTCCACACCAATAAAAAAAAGGAGTATCCATAGGCATGAGCTGTTCTTAGGTGGCACTTGAAAACCCTTGTCTCAAATTATCACATGCAGCATTTGTTAAATCCAGGTTGCATTAATCTGTTGTCCTTTTTTCTCGAAAACGCAGGAGAGCTGCGCTTCATTATATTAAGAAGAAAGAAAGGGGCTAGAGCCCTACATTAATCTGTTGTCCTAGTCTCCAAGTGGATTGAAATGAATCAGAGATGATATTATTGTCCTCTTAGATTGCTTGTATACGAAGTAATAACGAAAATCATACTGTACACTAATATCTAACCAATTAAAAGTTTTCTGTTATTTAGGTTGTTAGAAGTGTTGGCCCATGGTCAGCAGGAACAACTGAAATCGAAGGAAGCATCCACAATGCCTATTTTTCTCTCATTGAAAAGGCAGAACATTTTGTTTACATCGAGGTGTGTTTTTTAGTTCTGCAGTTTTAAGCCATAAGATTTAAGTTTCGACGTAACACTTTATTCAGAGTTGTTCACATTCATATGATTGAGAATCAATAGATTTGATGTTTCTATATGCACATAATTACAAATAGACTGATATCCCTTGTAACATACATTCTTTCTGCTGTCCTTTGCAGAATCAGTTTTTCATATCAGGTCTTTCAGGAGATGACACAATTAAGAATCGTGTATTAGAAGCACTATATAGGCGTATACTTAGAGCAGAAAAGGAGAAAAGGCGCTTCCGGGTTATTATTGTCATACCACTTTTACCTGGTTTTCAGGTAGTGTGCTTTTGTATCGATTACACATGGTTTGGTGTTGCAGGGTGGCTGTATAGTTACATATTTTGTTTCAGGGTGGCATTGATGATGGTGGAGCTGCGTCTGTGAGGGCAATTATGCATTGGCAGTACCGAACTATTTGTAGAGGACCTAATTCAATTCTTAAGAATCTGTATGATGTGGTTGGCTCGAAGGCGCATGATTACATCTCATTTTATGGGCTTAGAGCACATGGCAGATTAGGTGATGGGGGTCATTTGGTCACTAATCAGGTAAGCTTTTTTTTTTTGTTTTTTTTTTTTTGGGGGGTTAAAAGGTTCTGTTACACTCAATAGGTCATGCCTTTAGGCAATGGTTAGTCTCTGTGCTTTCCTTTAATTCTTTTCCTAATAACCTGCATGCTGCAGATATATGTGCACAGTAAATTGATGATTATTGATGACCGCATGGCATTAATTGGCTCAGCTAACATAAATGATAGAAGCTTGCTTGGATCTAGGGATTCCGAGGTATGACTTGTATATTTGCATGGTGCTCTTTTTTTAACAAACACATGCTACACTTATAAGTAATTAGCAGGCCAAATAGATGAAAGGTTGTACAGTATATATGCTTTGACTCCATGCAGGCAATAACTGCTGAATTCAAGCAGCTTGATTAACTTAGAAATATCCTTCCCTAATGGAGGGATACTCCTAAAGTTATGCAATTAGGCTAAACTGGGATGTAAATTATTTTTCCCTTCCCTGTATATATCTTCTCTATTTCTTTTTCCTCTTCTGTATTAAAAAAGCTCTTTTTGTATTGGAAAGTTTGCTGTTGAAGGTGAAGAGTGTTTTAGTTCATGACCAAACTGCAATTAGTGAAGATCAAGGCATGATTACCAGGATTACTTAGGCAATCCCCTGTTATTTACACTATAACGGAGTCTTACTATTCTTTCAGATTGGTATAGTTATTGAAGATAAAGAGGCTGTCAGTTCTATAATGGATGGAAGACCTTGGGAAGCTGGAAAGTTCTCCCTCAGCCTACGACTTTCTCTATGGGCAGAACACCTTGGTCTTCTTCCAGGAGAGGTTTGGGCTATATATTTCATTATGCTTTAACCACCAATTGAAACTTTAAATTGAGAGTTGCAATAAGTATAGAAGCATTGTGAGGAAAGAAGGATTTATAGTCTAAAGTTCTCTTGTTTCTCTGTTTGGTTTTTTTCTCAAAGTTGATTGTATGCTATCTAAACCATGGGATATTAATTGCCAACCTAGTAGCTTCACCTTCATTGTCTTTTGGCTTCCTATTGTGACACCCAGTCAGACAGGTAATCTAACAACCTGCTGTATCGGTATTTGAATCCAATTCCTCGGTAAATCTGACCTGATCAGTTTTCAATTTAAGGCCCATGTCAAACCATTCCAACTAACACCACCTCAAATCCGTGTGTCCTAATATTTCATATTGGTACTGCATGGTAGCCATGTTCACGGTTTTGAAGCAAACCAGCTAACCCGTTGACCCGAGCTGGACCTGACCAGTTAAAGGTGATTGGGGAGTTTTTACTGGTTTCCGGGTTTGAACCATGTGTCGAAGAAACAGGCTGGGTTGTACTGGTTTAGCCCTGCAAACCGTTTGACCCGTCAGATTCACCGCGTATATTGAGCGGAGGCAGCTTTCATGTTCACTGGCCTTGTGTTCGTCGCTGTTGGTTTTAGCTGCTCATGAAGTCAAGCTGACGAATCCGCAGCATGCCAGTTGCATTGGACCGCCGGCATACAGTTACGGTAAAGATGCAGCCTCCTTCCTTTCCATTGTCAGGTTCTGTTCGAGTAGCATCTCTCGCCTCTCGGCGGACTAGCTACCTCTAGACCTAGGACGCGGGCGGGGGAGTTGGTGACCAGGGCCACTCCGCGCGTGTGGACGCTCACCTCTGTGTCACCCCTTGCACATCAGCTCCATCGAGCCGTCTGCTATACGTGAACAGCTTCTCCGGCTTAACATCCATGTCTCAAGGAAGATGGGCGGCCCAGTTGCATGGCACGTCGGTCGGGATGTCTGGTCCACACGGCGCAAGGCTGTTAAAGAAGAGAACAAGCTGATCAGATCGCTACATAGCACTACCGCCCAGAGTACCTGGCACTGAATGAAAGTCGGTGTCGCTGATGCTGCACTGGGTTGCTCACCTTCAGGAGGAGAAGGTGACGAGCTTCAGGAGGAGATGGCAAGTTGTGGGCTGCCAAGCATGCGCAGGTCGCCAAGCTCCTTGTCCAAGGTTGGATGCCTCTGTTGTAAATTGCATTTGTCGATGAGAATCCTTGGACGAACAAGCGAATGCAGACTGGATGTTGATAGTTGTGGCGAGGAAGACAACTAGGAAAATAACGGTTCATATTATCTAAACTGTGGGCCAGTGAAACTGGCCCAGCTCAACCTGCAGCGCTAGTGCTCAGCAAACTTTAGAAACTGGAACGTCCCATTCTAAACAGCATGTGACAGGCTAGGTTAACAAACCAGCAAAAACCACAGATGAACAGGTCTACTGCATGGATTAAGCTAAGATGCCTTATAGCCTTTCTACGTCATGTACACAAGTGCAAACAGAGTAAATGAGTTGGACAGAGACACTTGAAGAAGAACCATCACTATAGCTTTCTGCACACTATATAGAGTGAGTGAGACTATGGATCAGCAGGGTATCTAGAATAAAGCCAACCACAGCAAAAACGTTTCACCCCTCTTCCCACCTGAACACATGCAATTGAACTATCTAACACCCAACTCTTTGAATCTGTTTCATGGCAACCCTTTATAAAGTAGTCCTGAATATTTTACATATGCTTTTGACAGAAGTAGAATAGTTGCATGATGCACATACAGTTTAGGGCTCTTTGTGGGTTTGATTCCACTTAATGTGTATCTTCACTTTCAGGTTAGTTGCATTATGGATCCTGTGGATGATTCAGCGTACAAAAACATTTGGATGGCCACTGCTAAGGTGAGTGTAGCGGAGATACTTTATCTTTGCCCTTTATTTCTTTTAAGCTATTCAAGTTAGAGACTGAACTGTTTGTTTTGAACTAACCGCTAAACCAGGAAACCATTTTAGTATGACTAAATGTCACTGCACCTGTCTATGAATGTCGTGATTTCACTAACTAATGATTTTCCATTGCATTTTTTTTATCATAAGAATGCTACAGAATGAGCACTAATACTTATTTCCCCCCCTCAACTGAACAAACTGATACATGGCAGGAGAATACCATGATCTACCAACAAGTATTTTCATGTGTTCCCAACGATCACATCCATTCTAGGTGCGGAATGCAGGACCCGTCTTCAAGTTTTCATCCATTTCAGTCGAAATATTGTGCTCGCTGGTCTCTGAAACGATACCAAACTCTTGCAGGTACCAATTTCGCCAAAGTTTTGCTCATCGGAAGGAGAAAATTGGCCACACAACCATCGACTTGGGTGTTGCCCTAGAGAATCCAGAAACTCAACAGGATACAGACCTGGCACGTGTCAATCCAATGGAGCGGTTGCAGGCCGTTCGGGGTCATATTGTTTGCTTCCCTTTGGAGTTCATGTGCCAAGAGGACTTGAGACCTTTCTTCAGCGAAAGCGAGTATTATACATCTCCACAAGTTTTTCATTAGTTTTTTTCCCCTCGCCTTTGGCGAAAGTCCACCCATAGGATACTTGTACATGTTATAGGGTTATTATAGTTGTAGATGCCTAGATAGTATCTCGTGTCTGGACGAATAGGAAAAAGAAAAAAAAACGAAGGAACAACCATATCCTTGCCAGTTTCGAGTATAGGATATGGTGGCCAATATTTGTACATGGCCAAGATCTGTACAGTTCGTTTATCAGAGTTAGTTCGGGCAAGAGATGTTACACTATTAGATTCGTTCTTTCTTGATGCAAAATAAAAGTCACTTTTAAAGACTTAACGTTGAAGTTGCTGCCTTGTACATGGAGCATTGGCAGATTTTGTTGCAGTTTGCTCTCTGTTTATTATTGTGGATGTATGTACTTTGTCAGTTTCTGCGATGGCATATTTGGTATCGTACTTCATCTAATCACTGTTGTATAGGCAAATAAATGTACACGCTGAGATGAATTATTAGTACTCCTTTTGTTACAAATTATAGATTGCTCAGATTTGTTTCAAGTCAAACTCCTCTAAATGCAACTAAATTTATAGAAAAATACACTAATTTCTTCATCATCAGACTAGTTTCGTTAAATTCACTAAATGACGTATCTAGTCAGTGCAGAAAGCTCATGCTCTATGTGGGGTCTGGGGAAGGGTGTCAGTGGCAAGCCTTACTCTCGCTTGTGCAATGCGAGGAGACTCTACCGGTCACAGGGGTAAGACTCTACCTGCCCTTCTTTCGTTAAATTCACTAACATATATTTTTGCTAAAAGCTTAGTTAAAGTTCAAAATTTTGACTTATGACAAGAAATATTTTTTGTGACATGTAATTTGGAAGGGAGGGTGTGTTAGCGTTGCTATCCGTTGTTATCAATTGCAAAGCAATTAGAAAGCCAATAGCTTATCAATCAATTAAAGCCATTAGAATATACTTCCGCTGATCCACATTTAGTTTACATGGGATTTATCTTAAGTAAGCTTCTTTAGCATTGATCAAATTTCTTAGAAAAATATACGGAGTTGTACTGTGTAATCGGAAAAAAAACAGAGCACTATTTTCTTATGTATTTTATATGTACTATATATATACACCTAAAAAAATACCTAACAGTATCGTCTGATCACCCCGCCAACCAGCACACAGCACGTAGAAATCCGACACGAACTCATTCAGTCACAGCAAGTCAGGATGGACTAGCCCCGGAGGCCAGAGGGCATGCGCCAACAGCATGCGAAGGGAGTACGGCGCCTAGACCACTCAACTAATCCTTTCAACCGACATAAAAAATTAAATAAAAAGATAAAAAAAATGCATGCATTCAATATGTTCTACAATTTAAAATCTAATTTCTTGATAGTTCAACTAGAATCTAATTTCTTGATAGCTCGACCAGAAAGCTAGAGCCGGTCACCAATCAAAGACGATTTAGAAGATTTTCAAGTCTAAGATAGGACATCCATTTCTTGCAACTGGCCTCCAGCTTCTTATAGCTGAAGCATACAGTTGCCTGGACTTGAATTTGAATTATTACTGTATATATTTTTCCACAGTTGCCTGGACTTGAATTTGAATTATTACTGTATATATTTTTCCTTTGCAACGAAAAAATAAACTCGGCAATGCTCCCACCCCTCGCTCGCCTGCTTCCGCCAGTCAATTCCGCATGTGCAACATATGATTTTCTATCGGACTCTACAGGTGGGCCATGACACGTCAATTATGGAAAAATACCGATCGGATCCTCAAGTGCGGGAGCACATCCTTTAACGTTGTCCTCATCAAGGATCATGTGCCAGACATCCGTGCACAACCTCATGGTGAAGTCTGCAACTAGGCCACACCGGCCAATGGCGTCAGATCTCACAAGACCATAGATCGTCATGCCACCGGTCGTGCCTGCCCTTGACGACGGCCAACAACGGCGCCACGGCCACAGCCGCGCGGCCTATCCATGGCACTGGTCCCTTTGCCGAACATTGGCAGTGCACGATAGCAAAGGACGCGAGCGAGGCGACGAAAGCCGAGGCGTACAACAGCAGCAGCCCGAGTCGGCTCGGCGGTAGGACCATGCCGGTGCCATGCTACTACTGCCGTCTTCGGCCCTAGCTGCTGCCGTTACCGACGTGCCAGAACTTGGAGTAGGTTAGGTTCCCGCCGTGGAACTCGAACGGAAATGGCCACGAAGGCCATCACGACGGCGCCCGCAGCCGAGGGCCCGCCACGAACAACAACAAAAAGAGAAAAATAAAAAGGCTCCAATAGATTTCAAAATAGTTTAGGATTCCCAATGCATAATTGTTTACTAGCTTTTTTCAGAAAATAATCAAATCAAATTGTAAAATGCATAATAATAAATCACGCGTAAGTATTAGAAAAATGAAACAAGCTTATATTTTCTATAAACTAGATCTACATGATATATGCGACAAAGATTATGAAACCGGCTTTATATTTTTTATATAATTATATTTGTAGATTTTTTAACATGTTCGTCTAATCCGCTCGCCACGTGCGCCGTCATATACTTAGAAAAAAATTCGTAGCCCACGTGCATCAATCTAATAAATTATATAAATGCCGGCCTTTACGGAATAAGGAATGTGACTCCAGGTCGATCGTGTGCTATTGGGCCAAACAAAGATCGTTCGTTGGGCTCGTTTCACTCGGGCCGCCCAGCCAGCCAACGGAAGAGGAGCGTCGGTCGGAGGCGTTCGCGCGTTGGATGTCGTTTTTAGTACCACACCGCGAGTTGAGGAGACGTGGCCGTTGCGTGGGCGCTATAAGAGCGGCGCGAGAGGGTGGCGGAAACCTTACCCGACCCTGTCAGGGGGTGAAAGGCGGCCCGTTGATGATCGTATAGAGACTGACGTGCCGTGCCGACACCCGACAGAACACTTTGCCAAAGGTGCGAGCGATGTCCCGCCCCTACTTTAGGGTGGGCCTCGCGCGCCTATTTTTGGAAGGCCCTGCTACCCTCTGGGAAACGGGGCCTACACCACAGCTGAACATAGCTTTGTCAAAGGAGAATTGGGAAACGGGGCCTACACCACAGCTGAACATAGCTTTGTCAAAGGAGAATTTTATCTTACTGGTTAGCTGTTAGCCATCAATCGACACAGCTTTCTTTGCTAGGAAATTATTCATTTTATATTATATTATTAAAGTAATGATGATAGTAGGTCTAGGATGAGCTATTTTTTTGTTTAGTTTTTCCTTCATTTTTTATATATTAAGCTGTAAAGTACATGCTCTCGGTGTATCCCCCTCACAATCATCTTTAACAAACTTTATTAAATTGACCCTGAACACCTATTTACGCATAGTTTTCCAACTAGCACCTCCATCCCAAAATTACAAATTATTCTAACTTTGCGCGACCAAATTTATATAATAAAATAAAATTTATGATACTAAGTATCATTACATTTTTTATTGATAATATTTTGATAGTATATCTACTTATAAATATTTATAGTTTTTTTTTCTATAATTTTAATTAAACTTGAATTAAACTTGAGAAGTTTTGACTCTAAAGTTAGAATAATTTAAAATGGAGGAGTACATATACTAAAATGCCCACGTTATACAGCATAACAACAGATGCAGACGAACTGCAATAATCAAACAGTGCTTAAGAAATTTCTTGTCATGTCAAATAAGACAATATAGTATGACAAGCTTAATAAGCACCAGTGCGCCATTGCAACTCTCTATCTTTTTAGTTCCCTGTGGCCATTGGTCTATATAAACAATGTCAAAACGCTCTTCCTTCAAAGCACCTGAATTTTAAATGCCTTGGATTTCAAGATCCAAGTATCAGATGTTTGTAAAGTACAAGCAAATATGACTGAAAAAGGTATTAAATTGCTGATTCTGGTTTCTTATACATTTACACATCACACACTCACATGACGCTAACTAAAATCCTTTTTCACGGGTCAGGAGGACATCACGTCTTGTATATTGCAATGTCAGAGAGGCTAATAACAGCTAACACGGAGTATTGTACAGTTATATGATGTATATAGGTCATTCATGCCTTCATGCTATTCTACAGTAGAACCTGTACAATAGCTGTCCTCATCCTTGGCGAACTTCTCAATCAATATTTCCATCATTTTCTTGTACATTGGCATGTAGTGATCATTGATCATGGTATTTGAGAGTCGAATCTTGCTGTAAAGATCTCTAGGGGTCTCATATATTCCAACAGAGCACTCGTCAGCAGCAACTGGATCATCTGGGTCAGCATCTGTGGGAGGCATTGCAACCATGTGCATGATTCTACCAGGTGGGTAGAATTGCTGCCTCTCCAAGCTATCTGATGTGAAGGACTGCCTGTCCTCTACACCTTTTAGCACAGCATTTTCCTCTTCCATTATTTCCTTGGCTGCAGCTGCCTCTTCCTCTCGAGTTCGTGCCTCCACTTCAGCCTGTCGATCCAAGTCCTTCTCAAATTCATACCACAACTCACCCTCTGTTATTTCTTCTTCGGCATTCTCCCGAGAGGTTTCATGCTCACTCAAAAGAGCCTCTTCTTCGTCTGCTGCATCATGAACAGAAACACTGGTTGCAGTATACTGCAATTCTTCTATGGTCTTGGTGCCACATTGTTCTACAACAAAGGACTTTGACTCAACTGTCGCTGTTACATGGGTTTCTGCTCTCATATCATCCTTAGAACTTGCAGTAACTACACCTACACCTCGACGACGTGCACCCATGCATGACCAAGAGGAAAATGCAGACCGACTTCTAGCAACAGCCTGTGCAACATTCTGTGCTTGTTTCATCACAACCTGCATTGGAATATAAGCTATCATGCTGTGCACGTCTTTCATGCACTGAATATTTGAATAGTATCATTCAGCATCAAGACTTTATTTAGTTTATGAAACAACCATGTCCAAAATAAGGTCATAAAGTAGAGAACGCTTAATCTAACAAAAGAAAACTTTTAGGTATAGGGTGCAGGCATCACTATAGAACCACACCA